AAGTGATACCTCACTGTGATTTTCATTTGCATTACTCTGATAATTAGTGACATTATAAACCTTTGCTTATACTGTAGGGTAATTTATGTGTCTTCTTTTGACGAATGTCAGTTTAGTCCCTTTCCTCATTTTAAAGTAAGATTATCTGTTTTTTGTTTGTATGTTTGCTTTTATTTTTTAGGGTTTTTAGATTTTTTTTTGGTTTTTAGTTGTAAGCACTTATTTTATATTTTATATTAATCTTTTATCAGATATAATTTTAAAATATTTTCTCTTATTTTATTGATTGTCTTTCTGCTTTGTGACTGTTTACTGTGCAAAAGTCTGATGTAATCCCACTTGGTTATTTTTGTTTTCGTTGTTTGTGCTTTTGGTATATCTAAGAAATCACTGTTAGGGTCACTATCAAGAAACTTTTTTTGGGGGGGGGGCTGGGGATTTAGCTCAGCGGCAAAGCGCCTGCCTGGCAAGTGCAAGGTCGTGAGTTCGGTTCCCGGTACCAGAGAAAAACCAAAAAAAAAAAAAAAGAAACTTTTTTTTCATGTTTTCTTTTAGTAGTCTTACAGGTCTCAAAGTCTTAAGTTTGTAATCCTTTTTGAGTTGAATTTATTTAGATGGTGTGACATAAAGGTCAAATTACATTCTTTTATATGTGGCTATTCAATTTTCCAGCACTGTTTGTTGAAAAGAGACTATTCTTTCCCCATGTGTGTATTTGGCACCTTGATTAAAGATTATTTTACCATATTTGTGTGAATTCATTTCTATGTTCTTATTCAGTTCATTGTTCTTTATGTCTATCTTTATGCCAGTAATACTGCTTTGACTTTGTAATATATTTGATTTTTGAAATATATTTTGAGGCCAGAAAGTATGATAGCTCCAGCTTTGTTGTTCTTTGTCAAAACTGACTTAACTATTCCTGATTTTTTGTGGTTCACTTTGCATTTTAAGATTATTTTTACTCTTTCTGTAAAAAATGCCATTGAGATTCACAAGGGATTGCACTGAATCTATAGATTGCTTTGGGTAGTATGAATACCTTAACAATATTAATTCTTTTGGTCTATGAACATGGAATGTCTTTCTATTTGTGTCTTATTTAATTTTCTTCAGTCTTCTGTAGTTTTCAGCACATAGTCTTTCATCCTTTTAGTTATGGTCATTCTCATTACTGGGATTTTATTATTTTAGGTGCTTTTGTAAATGAGATTGTTTTCTTACTTTCAATGAATTACTTTTCAGGTAATTCATTTCTAGTATATGGAAATGCACTGATTTTTGTATGTTGGCTTTGTGTTCTACAACTTTATTGAATTCATTTATTAGTTTTCAACATCGTGTGTGTGTGTGTGTGTGTGTGTGTGTGTGTGTGTGTGTAGAGTTTAGGATGGATTTTCTATTTATAAGATTATGTTGTTTGTGAACAGGGATAATTTTACTTTTTCCTTCCAATTTTGATGCCTTTTATTTCTTTTTATTGCCTAATAACTGCTTTTAGGCCTTCCATATATATTAGTTTTCCATTGCTTGGACATAATATCTGACATATACAATTTAAAGAAGGGAGAATTTATTTCAGATCACAGTTTCAGAGATTTCAGTCCATGGTTTGCTGGCTCAGAGGCAGAAACATCATAGCAGAAGGGTATGGCAAAAGAAAGCTGCTTACCTCATGGCAACCAGGAAATAGAGCGCAGGGGAATACCATGAGAGGAGGAGACCAGGGATCAGATATAATCTCCAAGGTCATGCCCTTATGACCCACCCAGACATACTGACAAGTGTGCTTTATTAATTTCCTAGGAATTTCTCTAAGCTAGTTGAGTTGACAGTTAAGATTAACCATCACAGTACTATGGCAAATAGAAGTAAAATGGGTACCTTGCTTTTCCTGAATCTTAGTGGAAATGCCTTCAGTTTTTCATCACTAAGTATGTTAGCAGTGGCCTTTTCATTTATGGGCTTTACTTTGTTGAGATAATTTTCCTGTATTCATTGTTGGTTGAGAGTTTTTATAACAAAATTGTGTTGAGTTTTGCCACATACTTTTTCTGCATTTGTGTTAGTCACTTTCTTGTCACTGGGACACAAACAATACCCAACACCCATAACTTGGAGAGATTTATTTTAGCTCATGATAGGATGGCAGAGGGGTATAGTAGAGGAAAGTTGCTCACATCATGTGGCTATGAAGCAGAGAGGGAAAGAAGAAATAAGGGAGGGAGGTATGCCCTTCCAGGTCACATCTCCAGTGACCTGCCTCTTCTGACCAGACTCCACTTCTTAACAGCACATTCAACTCTGAATGCATCAGTGGATTGATCTGTCAGCAAGGATAGTGCACCCATGACCCAGACATCTTCCAAAACCCCACTTCTGAGTACAGGAGGCATTCGGGAGACATTGTAGGTCATCTATTAAAGTAATCATGTGATTTTTATCTTTAATTCTGTTAATATGTGGTGCATTACATTAATTTTTATATGTTGAATCATCCTTGCATCCTAAGGAAAAATCTCCCTTGGTCATGTTGTATGACCCATTATCTTTTTCTTTGTAATGTCTCTTTTTTTTTTTTTTAACTTTTATTAGTACACGTTTGCAGTACATATGATTACGTTCACTGTATGGAATTGGCATGTATACATAACACATTTCAATTCTTGTTCTTCCACTTCCCTCCACCCTGTTTTATTTTTCCAGCATCAGATTCATTTATTTATTTTATAAACCCTTATAAAGTTAAGTATCATATATTAGACTGAAAACCGGACTAATAGGGCAAAGAACATATAAAACATGTAAGACAGTTGTACTAAGTCAAGGTATACTTTTAGATACATTGTCAGCGTTGTATTACAATACCTTTCCCCTCCTCCTTTTTCCTATTATCTGTCTTTTATTTTGTACTTTACATATATTGTTTTTCATATAAGAGAAACCATACGATATTTAAGCTTATACGTCTCAGTTACTTCACTTAACATTATGGACTTGAGGTACATCTATTTTCCTATAAATGACTAGAGTTTATCCTTCTTTATGGTAGAGTAATAGTCCATTGTGTACAAATAACATATTTTCTTTACCCATCCATCTGTTGATGGATATATAGGCTGTTTCCAAGATTTAGTTGTTATAAAGATACCTAGAAGGGGAATAGCTGGATCAAATGTCATCTTTAGTTTTAGTTTTTTTTTTTTATTTTAAAAATAAAAGGAGGAAAACATTAACAGACAGACAACATTTTACAACATATCAAAAGAACAGTACAGACAATATGGAGTTACAAAGTGGTAGGGAATTAACAATGGTTGTTGTATTACATATTGATATCTTCAAAGTGTCTTCTCATGAAAACAGATATAGAAATGCAATACTGATCAACCAAAGACTCATTGACAGTTTCTTTCTGCATAGAAATAGAAGACAGAAGAATAACCATGTTAACTATCCTGTATATACATACATATAAAATTTCTCCTTCTTTCCCTTCTCTTTTCCCACATCCCAGTTCCCCTTTACTCTTGATAGTTTTAGTTTTATGAGGAATCTCCATGCTGATTTCTGGAGTGATTTTATCAGTTTACAATTCCATCAACAATGGAGAAGGGTTCTTTTCTCCCCACAGCCTCCCCAGACTTTGTTATTGGTTGATTTCTTGAAAGTAACCACTCTTTCTGGAGTGAAATTGAATCTCAGTGTTGCCTTAATTTGCATTTCTCGAATGGTGAGCGGTGTTGACATTTTTTCATGTTTTTATTGGCCATTCATTTTTTTCATCCAAGAAGTATATATTCGTTCCAGATACCCATTTTTAATTGGGTCTATAAATTTGGGGTGCCTAATTTTTTTTAGTCCTTATATTCTAGATATTATTCTTTTGAGGAGCAGCTAGACATTTTTTCCCCATTCTGTGGGCTACCTCTTCACTCTGTTGGTAATTTCCCTTGCTGGCACATTTTTGTTTTTTGCAGTACTGGGAATTGCATGCTAGGTAAACATTCTACCACTGTGAACTATGTCCCCAGTCTTGTGTAATTCCTTTAATGTGTTGTTGAATTCAATTTGATAATTGTAGAGGATTTTGGCATCTATTTTATCAGGGATATTGACTGATAGATTTTTTTTCTTATAATGTCTTTGACTTTGGTATCAGATTAATGTTGAACTCATAAAATGAATTTGGATGTTTCTCATCTCTTCATTTTTTGGGAAGAGTTTGAAAGGGACTGAGGTTATTCTTTAGATGGTTGATATAATTCATCAGTGAAGTCTGGCCTTCGGCTTGTCTTTGTTGAGAGGATTTTGCTTAGTGATTCAGTCTTCACTAGTTATAGATGCTTTGACGCTTTTCTTCATGATTTTTTCTTGGTAGATTATATGTTTTTTTTTTCAATTTTATTTTAAAGAGAGTAGTAAATGAGAAACAAACAAACAAAGAACAATAGCAGCATGCCAGTATCACAAACATAAACAAACCAAAGCAAGAACATTTAAAGTGATACTGGGTTTCAGGATAAAATAACACGAATTAACAGTGGTTGTTATATTACATATCACTATCCTCAACTATATTGCTCAAATTATCAGATGGAAGAATGGAAGATTGTTCAAACCATTAAAGAGAATAAGAAAATAATTATTAGATAAAACATTAGAGATAATTTTATCCATGTTACCCAGTTTGTTGGCATATTAATTATTCATAGTAATCTCATCATTTTTATTTCTGTGGCATCATTAATGTTTGCCTTTATTTTAGTATTTTTTTTCTTAGTTTAGCTAAGGGTTTGTCAATTTTGTTTATTCTGTATGTCTCTGAAATTCTTTTCAATACATTTTTGTTCTCTCCTTGATTCAATCTGGATGCATTTTTTTCTTGTTTTTTGTTTTTCTTGTTTTTTGTTTTTGAGTTCTATTTTAGCTCAGCCTAGTTTAATATGTGATAATGCCCATTCCTTTAGTATTTAATTTTCATAATTGCATTTTTTCAGATTTGAGTTCCTGTTTAAAAATAGTTTCCAGTTTTCTACCAAAATGTTCCTGTTTTTGTCTTCTTGATTAAAAGTCTGTGCTGATCACTTTACTGTCTGGATCCTCAGGTGATGAGTTTATGTTGCTTGTTTTATTTATGTTCACTTACCTACTCATGTGTCTTTTTAAAAAAATTAAATTGTTCCAGAAGTTATCTTTCTGGAGTTGTTTGTGGAAGCAGTTTGAGGTCCAGAATGATATCTTCCTTCAAAGAAAGAGATTTATTTCTTCTCACACCTGGGGACAGAAATAGTCTAGGATAAATTTTATTTTATGTATTTATGTTTTACAAATTTATTTTAAAGAGAAAAAAACTAAAACTAAATTTCAAAACAAGATAATAGGAGAGTAACAATGGTTAATACATTGCATATTGTTATCTTTAAATTAGTTTCAGACTACAAGATATAGGCATTTAATTGCCCAAACGATATAAGGAAGAACTTTCTTTTCAATGAACTAAGAGAAATTAGTAGTATAATGATCATATATATATACATATACCTGTATGTGTATATATATATATATATATATATATATATATATATATATATACCTTTTCCTTTCCTTATTTTCACCTTTCCCCCATCTCAGTTTATCTTTCCATTTGAACAGGTTTCTTCCCATTTTACAATATCTATTGTACATTCTGGATCTTATCCACTCTTTCAGCTTCTCTAGGGAGACACTATAATGTTTACACATGTGAACCTGGTTTATTTCACTTATTAATATGGTCACAAGTTTCATTTATTTACCTGTAAAGTTTCCAGTTTATCCTTCTTTAGGGCTGAGTAGTACTCCATTATATAAATAGACCACATCCTTTTTTATCCATTCCTCAGTTTATGAGCATTTGGGTTGTTTCAAAGATCTAGCTGTTAGAAATTGTGCTGCTATAAACATGAGTGAACATATATTGCTGTGGTATGATGTTTTGAATTTTCCTAAGAGGACATCCAGTAGGGGAATAGCTGGGTCAAATGGGACCACCAATCCTAGTTTTTTGAGGAATATCCACACTGATTTCCACAGTGGTTGCACCAGTATACACTCCCACCAACAATGGAGAAGGGTTCCTTTTTCCCCATGACCCTGTCAGCATTTGTTATTGGTTGATTTCTTGATAACAGACATTGTTTCTGGAGTGAAATGGAATCTCAGTGTTGTTTTAATTTGCATCTCTTAATGTTGAACAGTGATGTTGAACATTTTTTTCATATATTTATCTGCTGTTTGTATTTCCTCACCTGAGAAGTGTGTAGTCATTTCAGATGCCCATTTTTGGATTGGGTCTTTAAACTTGGGAATTCTGATGTTTTTGAGTACTTTATGTGTTTTCAATAGCAATCCTTTGTCTGAAGAACAGCTGTTAAACATTGTCCCAACACTGTGGGTTTTCTCTTCACTCTGTTGGTGGTTTCTCTGACTGTGCAAAAACTTGTTAATAAGATGAGATCCCAGTTGTTGATTCTTTGTGATAGTTCCTGTGTGATCAGGGTTTTATTCATAAAGTTCTTGTCTACTTGAATGTCTTCAAGAATTTTACCTATTCTATCATCCAGCAGATTTAATGTTTCTGTTTCATATTTAGATCTTTGATCCATTTTGAATTTAGTATAGTGCATGGTGAAAGATATGGGACCAATTTTAATCTTCAGCATGTGCAGAGCCAATTTTTCTGGCACCATTTATTAAAGACTATCTTTCTTCCAATGAGTGTGTTTGGCACCTTTGTCAAAGATAAGATGGCTGTGTATGTCTGAAGTTGTTTCTGCATCTTCTAATCTGTTCAATTCCAATAACAAAAAAACTTTTGGTTCAGTTCTAATATTTCATTGTTGACTTTTTGCCTAGCTGATCTGCCCTTTTTGTGACATTGGGATATTGAGCTCCCCCAATACAATTATATTAGTACTTATTTGATTTTTCATGTCCTTTAACATTTGTTTTATATTGTTGGGTGCAGTGGGATTTGTCACATAGTTATGATTGTCATTTCATCCCTCTGGATTGTTTCTTTTACAAGGATGTAGTGACCTTCTTTGTCTCTCTTACTCATTCTTGGCTTGAAATTCACTTTTTCTGCAAATAGAATAGCTATGCCTGTTTTTTTTTCTGTGTTCCTGTCACATGGAGTATTGTTTACCAGCCTTTCACTTCTAGTCTGTGAATTTTAAAAAAATTAAATGTGTTTCTTGTATGCAGCATATTGTTGGGTCTTGCTTCTTGATCCATTCTGCCAGTCTCTTTCTTTTGATTGGTGAATTGGGACTATTAATATTGATTGTTACAATTGATATATATTGACTTATCCTTGTCATGTTATTTTCCTCTTGTTGGCTCTCCTCCTTCTTTCCCTCCCTCTGCTTAATTGTTTGCCTTGCCTGGTGGATTCCTTCTGTAGGGGCTGATGTAGTTGTAGTCTTTGTTACCTTTTTCTAGAATGTCCTTCAAAACATTTTGGAGTGCTGGTTTGGTGGTCATAAATTTCCTCAGATGTTCTTTGTCATGGAAATGTCTTATTTCTCCATCTGTATGGAAGATAGTTTGGTGTGGTATGTCAGTCTGGGTTGAAAGTTATAATTCCTTTAGAATTTGAACTACTTCACTCTGAACTCTCCTTGACTTGAGGCTGATGCACTTTCCTTCATAGGTGATTTGTTTCTTTTCCCTAACAGCTTGTAAGGTTCTATTCTTGTGTTGAATTTCTAGAATTTTGAGTATGATATGCCTGGTTGTAGTTTTTTTTTTTTATCATGTCAAATTGCAGTTCTATATACCACACTTATTTCTATGTCAAATTCGTTTTCTCTACTAGGAAAGTTTTCATCCATGACATCTGTGAACATTTTTTTATATCATTTGTGCTATCTGAGGCTTTTTCATAGACTCCAATTAATTTAAAGTTATTCTTCTTTGTTTCATGTAGCAGCTGCTCTATTGATTTCTCATGGTCCCTTGCTATTTTAAAGAATTCTTTCTTTTCATAATTGCTAACCACAAGCCTTTCTTTCCTATCTGAGGTCCTGTACTCACATTGGCTTAATCTGCTGTGAATACTTTCAATGGAATTTTTAATGTCTTGGATATCTGCTTGAATCTTCCTCGTGAATTCTATTTCTTTCCTATACTGAGCATTCAAGGCTTCCATAATTTTCCTGAGCTCCTTTATTTTTTTGTCTGTATCTGCTCTAGAATCACTAAGCATGGTTTTCATTGTGGACACCATCTCTGCAGTTATCTGAGAAATTATTTCTGATTTGATTTTTTTCTGGAGTCTCATGCAATTGTTTTGTTGTTACCACTTCAGAGAGGCCAGGTAGGTGGCTTTCTGATTGTCCCACCTCATTGCCCCGTGGGTGTGCCTTTGGTGAACAGGATGTCTAGGTTGCATCTTATTTATGTGTCTTCTCATTTTCTTTTCTTTCTTTTTTAGAAAATTAATTCCTGAGGTGATTCTTATAAATTGCCTATGGTGGGCTGCTTTGTTGCTAGTATTTAGAGCCCTTAGAAAATGGCTACCTCTCTAAGGTATCTTGCAAGTATAGTTGGTTTTTGGATTTTGTATCTGTTATAAGATCCTACCTCTTCCATTTGCTGGGGCTGAGAATTTGCTGCCTCTGTCGCCCAGCCCATTTCTTTGGCACTGTGCGATAGTGACCCTTAGTCAATTTCAGTTTTGGAATACCAGAAAGAATATCTGTTTAGAACAATTATATCACTTTTTGCTAAGGTAGTACCATCAACAATAACAATAGCATCAAATATAGCATAGGAAATGACAAACTAAGCTATTAATTTTCAACCTTTAACCATATGAACTAGTTTTGTGGTTATATAAAAAAAAGCTGAAAGAAACCATAAAATTATATGCAGGATATAAGTCCTAAATATGTCAGTTTGTCCCAAAGGGGTTAAAATTTAAAAGGGGTTTTTGGGAAAATAGGGAAGTGGAAGAAGAGAAAGAGATTAGTAGTAAGGCTGGAGGACAAAGGGGGATCATGCTAGCTTTGGGAAACTGGTGCAGAAGACCAGAGAGAGAGAGAGAGAGAGAGAGAGAGAGAGAGAGAGAGAGAGAGGAGGAAGAGATAAAAAGAATAGAACAGAACATGAACCACAGGCAGCTAGATGCCATATTCATACTCATAGAAAAACAAGATCAAACAATGGAGAGAAGAAAAAGTAAACAAAAACCAAACCACCACAACCACAACAACAACAAAGAAGAGGGAGAGAAAGAAAAAAAGTGCACTTTCAGGTTTGTCTCTGCTGTTTCTGGTAGATAACGTGTAGAGACAAAGTGCTAATCCATGTTGATTTATTCCAGCAAGCCAGCAGTAACTTCTTGGCTAGGTAGTGGATAAGATCAGTGAGGCTGCACCTTCTTGCTGAGACCAGACTCATTCAGACTGCCGCTTTCAACACACCTACCATGAGCCTGAGCCCAGCTGGTTGCTGGGCTCTGATTTTTAGTTCAGCCAGCCCCTCTCCAAGATGGCTTCTGGCCAATCACTCTCTCATGTGGGATAACTGAGCCCCCAGCACTCACTGCCAGCTAGTGCAGTCCTTTGTGTCCACTGCTGCCCTTCACTGCTGTGTCTTTCTGTGGAAGCCTCTGTGACTGTCAGCAGTCACCATGTGTCTGCAGGTCTGAATTGCTCCTTTGCACTGTTAGTCCCATCTCAGGGATAAGGTGTTGTCAGCTACCTCCTCCTTCTTCATTGAAGTTTCTCTCCTCACTCTCTGTGGGCTTCAATTCATGCTTCAGATTCTTCTTGGATACAGAGGACCCACTTCCCTCCCTCTTGTCTTCCTCACATTGCTATGTTCCAGCATCTGGAACACAACTCTCAGAGAGGCTCTTTCTTTGCTGCTTTTACTCTGCCATTTGGTGCCCTTCCTTCCAAGACCAATTTGAGACACAGAGGATTTATGTCTATTGCCATATGTTGCAAATCCTTCAGAGTTCTACCTCAGTGTAGTGGGGTTTTCTGAATCACTCAGCCTTAGCGGGCTTCGGACTCTGATTCTCAGACCCATACCTATCAGAAAGGCTATCAGAAAC